GCTATAGCGAACAATGAACAATTTTTGGCTCGCCCGATGCACATTGTTGAGACTTGAGGATGACTTAGTAGTAAATATTAATGTTTTATCGCGCCCCGCTAATATTATAAAGTATTACGGGCTATTATAAAGCAATACATGTTATTCATTTTTTATAATTTGGTTATTCATTTATATTTTATGATTCTACATATATTAACACAAAATAAATATATAATGCTGTTTTTCTACAAACTCTGATGAAAATTGTGAGGGACACACACACATACATTAATTTATATATATATATATATAGATAGTAAAAATAGAAATAATTAATCAGATAAAAAAATCCAATTTATATAGATGGCCTATAGCATAAGCCAAATGGGTGGAAAATATACACATTTGCCAATTAGCTAAAAATGTACTTTTTTTGGATTTTTATATCGGTATTTATCTAATTCTAACCCTCTGCTTCTGAGTTTTTAATAATTAGTTCTAAATCAATAAAAAGTAAAAACCTTTATCAAATACTTTTTAGTTGTATATATAATACATACATGGATCGTTCATTCCGATACTCATGAAAATGCACACAAATTAAACAATGTTCAATAACTTCATTTGTTTTATATTTAAAATATATTTGTAATTTAATTGGAATACATGAAAGCAAGTTAAAATATTATTCAATTAATATCGTTGCAATATACATAATTTTTTTACCTATGTATTATATTAATAAATAAGTATCAATAATATAAAAATGTATAATTATTTATAATAATAGGGTAAAAGTATATAGAAACAATAATTATTATTAATAGCATGAGTTAACAATAAATCCTGTTGAGTAAATTGAAATGTTTACAATGAACATAGTAACAATGTCTACTATACAATAGGGGTTTTAATAAAAATATAATATTTTCTACAAAATTACTGTTTTTATTTTTATTGATATACAATTTGGAAATTACATTTTTTGCTATTACTCCGTTATAATATGTGGTGTCGGCCGCACAACATACACAAATAATAATCGTACATTTTACATAAATATTGTACATGTTGGTATCTCTTCGGGTGGCTGTTTGTCGAGTGGCTCCGTGTCGATTTTCGGTGGCTGTTTGTCGAGTGGCTCCGTGTCGTGCTCCCGAATATACGAATATTGTGGTTTTTTAAATAATATATAATCTATAGTCCTGTAATAAAATAAAATTACATGTAATATATTTATATTTAGCAATAAAAATGACAGTAACGTATAATAATATGTCAAAAACCCTATTAGCTCCATGTAAAAGTCGGCCTCCGGGCGAATGGTGGTGCTATCTACGTGACAAAATTATACTACCAAAATGCCGTAATTTCTTGACCCACTGATTTGGTTGGAGTGGCATCACCTTATCTTTTCTACATCATGCTTTTAACTGATGGAACGGGAACTGGGACTCTTGAGTAAGAGGAGGACATAATAACCGATATAAGTGTCACAAAAACGCTGTCACGCTGTTATCTGATAAGAAATTAGAGATTGAAGATGAGGGGTGGGGTGGGAATGGGGGAATGGGAATTATTTTGTTCAGCACTGGCAGATTAAATCTCGGGCAACGCCGGGTTCGGACAGCTTGTAATTAGAATATGTCTATGGTTTTTGGATTAACTTCGGCGCCAAGAAATGAGAATATTGTCATAGGCCGTTGAGCAATCATATTATCTTAAATCGTGGGTAAAACCTAAAACCAAATATTATAAATGACTATAATAATATATAGTACTTACCTACTAGGTAAAACGGTATAAATGTATTAAATCATGTATTATATTTATTGGTCAGGTCAGGTCATATATTTTGTTACCTCACCAATAAATTACCGTTGACAATAATAGCTCTTCTGGTGTAAACAGATTTAGATAATAGGCCGTCATCACGAATTTAATTTTATATAACATTTAAAATTTAAAAGTGATCAATTATGTTTTTACATTCAAATACATTTATAATAGTTTATAGTATTGTTAATCCCAACAAAAAAACTTCGTTAACTCAGTATAAATGGTAGCTAAGTAGGTTAGTTTACTTGGCCGGAAGCCGTTTTCTACTTCCTACCTAGTAAATATAGCACATGTTATAATAGGGACATAGTAGGATAACTATAGCAAGACAAAAATTTAACTTCCAGCCAAGTAAACTAAATTTATATTTTTTCATGACTGGTTTGATATGTCGACTGATTTTATTTGTTGACAACGATGTATAATAAATATATTACATTATGGTATTTACTTAGTTCCTATATTATATCACGTATTTTAAGGCTTATGTTGAAACACTTCTTTTTTTTTACTTAGCTACCATTTACACTGAGTTAACAGAGTGCTCAAGGTAAATTCATATACATCGATCTTGATCTTGTCTAGAACGCTCTCGATAAAATATAAATACTAAATAGTAATAGCATACAAATATAATTAAATCTAGTTAATAGTAATCTATCGGTATAATCTATCGCTATAGCTAATATTGATTTTCATAAAAAAATGTAGTAGGTATGTTTAATCATAAATCATTATTAATCAATACTTTATGAAATATCTAATCTGCGATTTTGTAGGTATGAAAAAGATATTAATTTAAAACCTAGTTTAGTTAGTTCAATAGATACAATAATAAGTAAAAAAATTGAAATTTTTAAAATAAAAAAAGGGAAATAATTTTTAATATACAAAAAACAATACTGAGTTTTACCAATTATACCATTAATAACCCAACTATTCCAACTATATCCACATTGGCAATATCCTAAGCGAGTAAATTTAAGAAAATAATTCATCATTTTCATTGATATGTTGAATTTTATACTTGGTGTAGAAAATACGCAGGTAAAAGAAAATGATGGTAGGTTAGGTAATAGGTATATCTCTGAAAGTATGGACTCCCGAAGTATTCATACTTACTTATAACATTGTTATTTGTATTACTCGAATCAAAACAATTATAACGAAAATCATTTAGTAGTTACTTATAACAATAATAAATAAGTAATAACTATTTTATGGCATGTATTAAACGTGTAGTTACTACGTAGAATCGTTTGATTCGTTCATTACTTGGTGTTTTGTTCCTTGTTTTTGCTATACGTTAATCGCCTTGAGAAAATATATCTATTTTGTCACGCTACACATAAACCACATAGACACCAATTTAAATAAACCAAGTGACATTTGCTGACACCGAGTTGGTTATTTATCGCATAGTAGATAATATTATATTTTAATAATTGTTAATTAATTTGTTTTGAAAGCATCCCATCTTTGGACTTTAGCGAGATCGACCATATCTATGGTTATTTGTTTAACTTTAAGCGCATAACAATAATTTTTTAGCAAATATATTTTTTTAAATTAATTCTTCCTGTGAATATGTATTTAGGAACCCACTCAGTTGTTAAATCAAGTAATTATAGGTATAAAGAAATATTTCAATTTTTCGATTAGATTGTTATAAATTATTACAATAAGCTTACTTCATTACCTTTTTAAAAATTATTAAGTAGGCATTAGGTATTTGTTAGTCAGTTCCTACTATTTAAAATAGCTAATAAAATGGCTAATAGCTACGTTTAAAAAAAAAGAAATTTGTTATAACACTATATAATTTATACCTGTAGGTTGCATCTAGAGTTTTAATAATACTTAATACTCCCCTCTATTGAACCTAGTTATTTTTATTTTATGAACATTTTGTTTTAACTAGGTACCTTTTTTAATTAGAAATTCAGCCACTGCTCTAAATAGTGAATGGAACTATTTAAAATTTAAGATTTGGCAGGTAATGCATTGTATTAATTTGTATACAATGGTGAACAAATGCTTTTATTTCCTAATTAATCATCACCGAACTTGTCCTTAGCTACTAGTTTGGGTATGGTATCAGGTCTGTAAATTTGTTTTATTAAGAGGGGCAACCCATACCGTTAACCCCTGCTATGCATGGCAGAAATGCCATGCGCGGATGCGCCCACCCAGGCGACCGATTAGGCATAGTTAGCTTAGGCATAGGGCCTAATTCCGGGCAATACGCCATACGAAAATTTATTTTATTTAAAGACGGCGGCATTGGTGTCATCTATGAACAGTTTTTCAAAAATGTCGGTGTATCCTCCAGTATAAGTTCATCGTAGGAGGGTGGCTTGGATTTTTCATTTGGCTTTGGACACGAAGTACACAGATCTTCGAGCTTTTTATCTTCACATGTATCTAAACACGTTTTTTCTGACAAAGGACTGAGAACAACATTTTGATGGAACGAGAGGCATTAACAATTTTAGCAGTTCTACTGTCTAGTGTCCGTTTGTCTAGAGAATGGATTCCGAAGTTGCATTCGTTTTCACAATAATTAAGTTGTCCGTCTTCAAATGCACAATTTTTCATTTCCATACTCGCAGAACTATACAGTAGTGTAACTGAACAATTAAAAAGAGTTACAAATTTTTGTATTTATACTTTAATTGATATAGACAAATTATCGTTTAAAAATATTTATTAAAATCGTTTTAAAACGGCTGTATGAAATACTAGCTAGTCAGTGGTTATGTTTGAATAACAAATTATTTATTTTTGGATATTTTTAGCCAATAGTATTTGCATAGTTATTTTTTACCATCCAACTAGAAAACTATTCACTATCTACAGACCAAGTCTACTAGAATTGATTATCTCAATACAATGATAAAAAAAAAAAAATTGTCATTTATGAATTTAAATTATTGTTATGTGATTTATAACAACATTTGTCTAGACGTTAAGCCTGTCTTTCATACAAACAGAAGTCATAAAAGTATATATATATATATATAGCCCAATCTATAAATGTATAGCTCGCAGAGATCTAGAAAATGTTGACCAGTTGAGAGTCACAATATATTGTCCATGACAGATTTTACGGCTGAAAAATCCTAATTTATATTGACGAGTTATAGCTAGTATCTTCTAATCATAATATTGACAAATGATTATGTTGCATTGATTTATTATTGGAGTTGACAATATTTAGATAACACAATATTATTTTAATTAATTGCGTAAACATAAAAAAGTTAATGTTTTTTTAGCAGTTTTTAAAACTATTTAAATTATAAAACAAATGATTAAAAACTAAATAATAATTACAAATTTTATCATTTAGTGATAAAATTAATTAACTTAGTTTTTTACGGTGAATTATTAAATCCAGGTATAGTATCATAACTCTTTTGAAGCTGCGCTCTGCTAAAGTCCATTCCTGGGTACTGAAAAATAAATTATATTATAATAATTATTATAATCCCAATGCATACATGACAAGTGTTGGCTACCAAGCTATTTTTGAGAAAACTTCCCTATAATGTCAAAGCTATATTATAGTAACTAAATAAGATAAAAAAAAAATACAAAAAATGTATTGAATTTTATGTACATTTTTTTTTATTAACAATTTGGAACTTTTTTTTTTCTATTATTGTAATTATTAGAAGTATTGTGATTTTTACCATTGTATCAGTATTAAAGCTTTTATACAGAGTGAAACGGGCGATTTTCCAATGTATTTAAATGGGAAAATCACCCGTTTCACTGCCCCACCATTTATAATCTACTGAATAGTAGGCTGTGTCCTCGTGGCAACCCATGAATTGAACAGCTCGCCAATATTTTATTAATAAAGGTTGTATCTCTCTCTTATATATTTACTAGATTTAGAATATCTTAAAATACAAAATATACTTTAATATATTAGCAATAATATAATATACTTTATATTCTCTTACTACTTATACTTTATACTCTATTAGCTATATTAATTATTCAAAAATAAACATTCGTGTTAGTTTTTCACTTAATATAATAAATATTATGAAAAAACAAAACAATATTATCATATTCTGGTTGTTACGTAGAGTAGTGTTCTAACATTACCTATTATTCAATCTTTGTAAATTACATTGATGATCTTTTTTTGCTACAAAATCTGCAAACATTTTAGTTTTATTAATTGTTCATAGTATAAACAATAAAAAACTGATTTTAATATTGAAATATAGGAAAATTGTAAAGTTATTGAGGTTTGTAAGTTTTTGTCTGTATTATTGCTGACGTCATTGAAAAATCATTATGTCTTTATAATCAATATTTGGTTATTAAATCATTGATTTATAATCTCTTTAAAAATGTCATAGTAAATTTTTCAAAAATAATATTAGATTACCGTGATAATATTAGATACTGTTTTACCGAATTATGATATCACAGTAACTATAATATAGTGTATACAAATTACCTCAATTTGAAATTTTTCAAGGTCCATTTTCTTTCTCATTTCATGAAAAGTTAGAGGGTCTGCTTTAAACGACTTATCCTCCATAAGAGCCTCCCAAACAATTTCATTTTTAATGTAATCTGCTTTAGTCAATACAATGTTCAGTAAAGTTCCGTTATCTTCTAATGTCCACACAGTTTCGTCAGCATGAACTTTTCTAAATAAATTACCCTATTATAAACAATTACTGGTAAACAAATAGAAAAGATCCCAATAGGCAATCTGCCATGTAACTTACAGAAAATAAGAGTTTTCCTAATATATCGCAAGAGATTTTTGAATTGGTGACATTGACTTTGACGTCTTTTGATTTGATGGCGGGTGTTTTAATTTCTATATGTACTTCGTCTACCGTCTGCCACCATCTACCCCATTCCGTGTTACATGGAATGATGCCGCTTTTCTCATCAAAGAAACTCGAAGCCATTAAAAGACACACTATAGATATATATCAACAATGAAAAAAAAACAAAAACGGATTTTATCTACAAGATTGAATTTTTAATTAAAAAATAATATTCATTAATTAGAATTCTTAAAATCTGGGCCCGGTTATAGATAAACATTAAATAGGTTACTCGACGGTGAATGCTTTCGACTGGCTATTTTTTTATAGCGGTCACGCCGCGTAACGCTGTCTATAGAGCGCGCCACCGGGATGCAGGCCATCAAAAGTTATATTTCCTATCTAACGCAAATTCATTCAAATTCATGTATTATATTGTTCTTGTAGACTTGTATAATACTATCTTTATTGGTTTAAAAAACAGCTTTTTAGTACACGTTAGATAGGAAATATAACTTTTGATGGCCTGCATCCCGGTGGCGCGCTCTATAGACGGCGTGACCGCGATTGTCGGCTCCGATGCGTAACCTGTTTATCTATAACCGTGAATCTGGGCTACATCAATGATAATAATAATCATAGATTAGATATGTACCACAGAATAGACTATTTAGTCTATGGTCTAATCGTAGCAATTGTGTATTCGAAGTCACAGATATATATAATAAACTAGATTGCTAAATGGCAATACGAATTGAAGCCGACGGTCCACCATTCTGGTGGGATTTATGTGTGTTATCAATGCATATAATATATATGTCTGTATATATTATATCAATATTATACCTATATGTGATTGTTATAAAATATAAACATATATTATTTTCGCGTGATAGGTTCTAATTCCCACCAAGATGGCGGAAAGTGGCTGCTTCAATCTTCTCTATTGGTGGCATGTACAGTTAGCAATCTAGTTTATTGTATATATATCTATGTTCGAAGTAGATTTTATTCGTGGCAAATGACTGATAAAGCAATGTCGGAGTAACTACAAATCGAGACATGCAACATTCGTGGTAACTGTAGCAACCCGGAGCGAACATTTATACTACGCCCTAGAGGGAGCACGACACGGAGCCACTCGACAAACAGCCACCGAAAATCGACACGGAGCCACTCGACAAACAGCCACCCGAAGAGATACCAACATGTACAATATTTATGTAAAATGTACGATTATTATTTGTGTATGTTGTGCGGCCGACACCACATATTATAACGGAGTAATAGCAAAAAATGTAATTTCCAAATTGTATATCAATAAAAATAAAAACAGTAACTTTGTAGAAAATATTATATTTTTATTAAAACCCCTATTGTATAGTAGACATTGTTACTATGTTCATTGTAAACATTTCAATTTACTCAACAGGATTTATTGTTAACTCATGCTATTAATAATAATTATTGTTTCTATATACTTTTACCCTATTATTATAAATAATTATACATTTTTATATTATTGATACTTATTTATTAATATAATACATAGGTAAAAAAATTATGTATATTGCAACGATATTAATTGAATAATATTTTAACTTGCTTTCATGTATTCCAATTAAATTACAAATATATTTTAAATATAAAACAAATGAAGTTATTGAACATTGTTTAATTTGTGTGCATTTTCATGAGTATCGGAATGAACGATCCATGTATGTATTATATATACAACTAAAAAGTATTTGATAAAGGTTTTTACTTTTTATTGATTTAGAACTAATTATTAAAAACTCAGAAGCAGAGGGTTAGAATTAGATAAATACCGATATAAAAATCCAAAAAAAGTACATTTTTAGCTAATTGGCAAATGTGTATATTTTCCACCCATTTGGCTTATGCTATAGGCCATCTATATAAATTGGATTTTTTTATCTGATTAATTATTTCTATTTTTACTATCTATATATATATATATATAAATTAATGTATGTGTGTGTGTCCCTCACAATTTTCATCAGAGTTTGTAGAAAAACAGCATTATATATTTATTTTGTGTTAATATATGTAGAATCATAAAATATAAATGAATAACCAAATTATAAAAAATGAATAACATGTATTGCTTTATAATAGCCCGTAATACTTTATAATATTAGCGGGGCGCGATAAAACATTAATATTTACTACTAAGTCATCCTCAAGTCTCAACAATGTGCATCGGGCGAGCCAAAAATTGTTCATTGTTCGCTATAGCAAAATCCCAAACAAGTCAAATATTAGCGTGATGAAATTATGATGCAAAAAAAAAAAAGGACCATGACGGGCGGGAGGCAGGTAGACGAGGAATCCGATGATAATTAAGCGGCGATCGACGGACGAAGTACCCAGCGGGCGCGGGTAGACGTGCAGTGCCGGGCGCGCACGTATGTCGATTTCGGCGAACTTTAAAAGTCTGTAACTTCCAAACTAAGTGCGAGCGGCGCAAATTCTTTACATATTCGTAATCAACATTAAAAGTACTGTCGATTTAAAAAAATAATCGAAAAAAAGGGTGCCCGGTAAAGTAGATTTATACCATAATTATTTGTAATGTTCTAACTGTATTTTGTTATTTTTCCAACTATGTTCAAAATTTCAAAACTATAAGCCAAGTGGAAATAATTTAGTAAACATTTTTTATAAACTTGATTATATTAATTTAGTATTTTTCTTTAATAATGCACAATTGTTTCTAACTTTAATACTAAAATAACTTGTATGAAATCCGTTGTGTTCATAATATGTACACTATTAGTTTTTATTCAACAAATGATTAATATTATATGTTTATTACTGCTGATAATAACTTTTAAAAATAAACATGTACATAATCATTTTAGAAAATACATTTTTGTCAAGGCTGTTAGAATACTTAAGCCAAACAATTTTTTTTTTATTAAATCGTGGTCAATAATAAAATAAATTTTAAAAATTATAACATTAAAAATAGATAAAAACAGTAAAATCATCAATTTTTTTAGTAAAAACTATTTCCTTGCAGTCTTTTGTTAAGTAACGGCCACCGCCAACGTGTTGAACCATTATATTTTTTTTTTGATAGCTCGAATCTCATAATTATTTAACATCAGTGATGGATGGCCGCAGTTGGTAACCAACCGTTAGTTTGTATAAACTTGACCATAGTAAACTTAGTAATATTAACGTTTCGTTAATAACTTTTTAACCGTATGAGACCCACTTCACGTTAATTATAATATCACACACTAAGTATCAATCATTTTGTGAAACCCTTGTGTACTCTATGCACATGTATAAAAACATCTAGATAATGCAATCGACAACGCCAATACACATGTCACTTAAATTTAAGTTATAGCTAACTTTTAACTTGTATATTATAATAGTGTGAAATAAGGAAATCTGTGTTTATAAATATAAATTTAATACTAGATTGTATTATAAACTATTAACTATTAACTCCAGCCTTCCCCTTGTATCTGACCTTGTTTACACATAAACTGGAGTGATCTATTTTATATATTAGCTGGACATTAGTGATAAGTCTGGTGAGTGATCATATCTAGATCCAAAAGAACCATACCGGTTATTTTAGACCCCAAAAAACTACTGCCGGCTTAATAATATATAAACATTTTATTCAGCATCGGCAAGGCGCCAGTCTACCATAGGTTGTCCCTGTTTGAATTTACTATTGTGTAGCTAAGTATAAACAAATACTAACAATTAAGCATTGGTAGTATATATGGAAAAAAAATGTCAACCACAAAATAAAAAATAGCTGTATATTTCAATAACAAATGGAACTTATCACAGATGTTATAAAAATAGCGTAGACAGTAGACACAACGCGGTCACACGGCGCGCGTAACAGTGTTTTTGTATACTATTATAATTTATAACTTATAAGGTTCTGTTCAAACAATAAGTGTCAGCTAAAATACGTTCGATAACATTATTTTCGACTTAAATATTTTTCGGCTAATATATTTTCGGTTAATATATGTTTTGGTTCTAAATTTTTTCGGAATTATTATTTTCGGCATATATATAACATGATAACTAATACACAGATATGATAATATATAATACAAAATTAAATAGTATTTAACTATAATTTATTATTGTGTTATTGCCTATTGGAAGTTGTAAAGTATTTAAGTAAATGTGTTTAATTTTATTGTCGGGTATCGAATAGTTTCGTATGAGGTATTCACGATGTATTGTTTTAAATAGATAGGTATAATACATCGGTATTAAATAATTTAAAAAAAAGTATAATTTCATTGAAATTTGATCAATGAACATTCTGCTTTACTTATTATAAAACGTGTAAGTATGTTTTGAAAAACATTTTTTTTTATAAACTCAAGAGACAATTTATTGTTGGTAAATTATCACTATAATATAATATTGTAAATATTGTTTCATATACTTTTAGTTTTTTTTTATATAAATTTCAATAATAGAAACTGATTTGATTATAACTTAAATAAAAAAACTCAAAACAGGAGACAGGTCACACAGTGAATTAAAAATAGTTCAAGCCTTATTGCATTAATTATGAAATGTACAAGTTTTCCCCTTTAAATAAACAATACTAGCCGCACAATATACACGAATAATAATCGTGCATTTTTTATAAATATTGTATATGTTGGTACCCCTTCGAGTGGCTGCTTGTCGAGTGGCTCCGTGTCGATTTTCGGTGGTTGTTTGTCGAGTGGCTCTTTGAGGTGTAACCGCCCTAGGTATCTGTACAAAAAAATTAACCTAATATTTAAGGCATAAAATGTAAATCTCCCGCCTTTTTTTTATCAAATCTACAATAGAGACAGACCTAAATTTATTATTATTGTCTTGGTTATTGTGAACTGTGGTCTGTGAAGTGTAAACGATAAATTGTAAGTTGTAACTTTTACATAATTAATATTACTTTACTCAATATTGGTAATTGCTATTGCTTTGTTATTGGTATTATTTAAGTACTTCAGTACTACTGAAGTACTCTGAATTTTATAACTGTAGTTGTAACAATTCATTTTTTAAAAGTAATTTCTTATACTTTAAAAAAAGTTTAGTAAAACCTATAGTTTTAGTAAAATAATAAAATTACAAAGTAAGAGTACAATAAAAAATAAATATCCTATGGATTATGTATATTAATTAGTGTTGTAATTTGGATTTGAATCTTCGAAGAATTCAAATATTCGGATTCAAATACCTAATTTTTAAAGATTCGAATATTCGAATAGTTGAAAAAAAACTATTTGTTAATTAATTATTATTATTATTTGAATATTTGAAGGATTCGAATCCTTATTGAGATTCGAATCCTGATTATTTGAATCCAAACTATTCGAATATTTTCCATCACTAATATTAATCTTACTTAATTCAATAATGAAAAATACATTATTTTTACTATTATTTTAAATTAGATGGAATTAAACAATTTTTCAAAAATGTGTCATGAAAAAGTAAATTTAAATACAGACTTTATTTTTAACCAATGTGATCCAAAAAGTGTGTCATATATACAACCATTTTGTTTTGATGTTGGGTTTAAACCAGTTATCGGTTATATTTATGTAAGTATTTAATCATACTTCATATTTTAGCTTTGATGCAAAATTAAAAAAGCATTGTTGTATTGTTTTTTAGAAAAAAAATGTTCGAAAAATAATTCATTCTGCGGTAAAGTTACATCAAAGTTCTGAAGAAGAGGATGATGATGACGATTTGGGTAAACTGTATTTTTCTTACAGTTATATTCCCAATTAGTAATTTTTATAAATACCTTCATTTTTTGTTTACAGATTTAACTGGAAATCCATTAGAGTGTCCTTTTAGTCCTGTAAAAGCTCAGAAGGCAATAGCAGAGGCTGCTTTTAAACCAGAAGACAGCCATAACCCATTAAATTTGCTACAAGCAAGGTATTTTTTATTAAAACAATGATATTGTATGAATGTGTATACAAAATATAAAATTAATTTAATTCATAAGATCTACAGAGATACTTTATTGATTATCAACATTTTTAAAATGTCAACGATATTTAATAGTGATATTGGAAAAATGAATACTTAAAATATATTTGAAAAAAATGCTGTAGAAATCCTAATTTAGATAGGTAGAACACAATCTTAGAAGTAATATAATTTGTAAAATGTTAAGGTTATTAAGAATCGTGTTTTATATATATATATATATATAGGGTGATCCTTATATCGTAAATCGCACAATATTTCATAGTTTATAAGAATTTTTTTTTTTCATAATGTTTTGATCTTGGTTTTCACATTTTTTGAAAATGTGTACTTAAGTACACAGCTTTATATTTTAATAATATTAAATATTTATACAATTTTTAAGTCACTTAAGAAGGTTTTTTTTAAAAATCCATATTTTTGGATTCCCATTACTGTTACAGCCACTAGATCATTAAATGATTTATCTAATATTTATGCAAAAGTTAGAGCGTCAACAATAAAAAGGTTAGACTTGTGCATTCCAAAAGGTGACAGTCATATTGAACAATATTTCTAATAAAATTCTACTAAGTTATTATTAATATATATGTATAATGACAACTGACATATCATTTCAGACAACTTATATATTTAAAACTCAAAGATGATTATCTTAAAAGTATACCTATGTATATTTTATGTGACGGATTAAAAAACAAAAATACTATTTTATTGGGCGGTGATATACATAAAGAATGGCATTCTCGTTACTGGGCTGAATATAAAGGACAGAACAATATAGAACATGTTGAACTGTCCGTACAAAATATGATTCAGACTCATAAAAATTTTCCTCAAGTGTCATCAATGATAGTAAACTTATATTATTGTTTTAATAATAATTTAAAAAATTAGTATATACTAATAATTGTTTATTATGAATAATAATTTTAGTTGGAATCAAAAGTTTCTGCTGCCATAAACCTTACTACGTCTACTAATACAGAAGAGTTAACATTCATCGATAATTGTCCTGGCATGGTTGTCCTTAATCTAACTTGGCGTAGGCCATCTATTTTTGCACCTTTAATGTCAACAGAATCATTTATTGTTAGTATTATTTATACAAAGTTAATAGTAGTTTATATTTTAATAAATATGTTATGTACAGTTTTTTTAAATATTAATCTCCACTAATACTCTAACATGGAATATTACCAAATTAATTGACTTTTCTAAATTTTTGTACTAAAGGTTAATCGTATTTTGATTTAAAGGATATACATTGCATATTGGGCCATGAAACTAGTCCGTTACATCCGCTTTGGCAACAATTGTTATTTTTAGAAAGTCTAATTGAACAACTAACATATATGAAAGATGAATGCCTTAGCAATCGACAAAACATAGTTTTTCCACAGTATCAAGTAATTTGTCTTATAATTAACTATTTAAAAAAGTGTATATAATATTATGTTTTTTTTTCACATGCATCCATAGAGACCTGAGGGAAACCAGCCTGGTAAGACATTACTTTCCCCCGGGTCACTGATGCCCTTTATTGTTCTAAACAACATTACAACTTTGTTGAGAGGGTGTTTCACACAACCCTCTCTACATTTAACTATAATATACACATGGATCTTAAAAACTAACACACCCCTGCTGGGGTGGGGGCCCATTAACAATATGAACATTGGGCCCCAAGGAACTTTATTTACAAAATAACTTACTACTACTCTATATTTATATACAGGTTATTTATAGCCAGGGTTCCGTTAACCGTTATTTATTTGTTCAGTTCAAAATTATGTTCATGAACGTGAACTAGGAATAATGTTATAATTTTTTTTACCCCGAAAACGTTATAACTTTTTTTACCTCGAGAACGTTATAACGAAAAACGTTATAACTTTTTTTACCCCAAGAACGTTATAACGAATAACGTTTTTAGTTTATTTGCTCCAAGAATGTTATACCGATTAACGTTATAATTTGTTGTACCCTGAGAATGTTAAAACAAATTTTGCTAAGTTAGGTTAGGTTAGCAAAAATAGTGAAAAAGAATAATGTAGTAAACATTTTGATTGGTCGATAACCAGTTTTAGATCACTATTTTTGTTAACCTAACCTAACTTAGCAAAATTTGTTTTAACATTTCCGGGGTAAAACATATGATAATGTTTTTCGTTATCACGTTCTCGGAACAAATACATTTAAAACATTATTCGTTATAACGTTCTCGGAGCAAATAAATTTAAAACGTTTTTGTTATAACGTTCTCGGAACAAATAACTATAAACATTATTCGGTATAACGTTCTCGGGGTAAAAAAATTATAATGTTATTCGTTATAAGTTATAATGTTCTTGGACCAAAACATGTAAAACATTATTTATTATAACGTTCACCAAACATATACTAATATTATGTTAAGTTCTGTGAACTTTATTTTAGTGAACGAAATAATTGATTTTATAACGTTATATTTCGTTACATTACGGAACCCTGTTTATAGCTATTTATACATGTTGGTCTGCACTTTGTCGGTGTGTTCTTGGGCTGATGACGCACGCACCCACCGTCCTTGCCCACCTTGGAAGTCAAGTCATTGATGAGCCTTATTGTAAAAAAATCACTAACATAAAATGCATATTGGAGTTTTGAATTTATTTAAAGTATTTTGTCACTTCTTAATAAAAATTCAAACATGTATAAAAAGCAGAACTGAGCATTATTTAAATAATATTAATGTTTTAAATAAAAATAAAAATAATTAATACTACAAAATACCTATGTATTTATAATTTCAATAAAAACTGTGAAATAATTTATAAAACAAGTTGGCCCCAGAGCGAGGTGCAAGTGGCCATTTTTGCCCCCCCCCAGAGGAACAAACCGCCAGTGGCCGAGATTCGAACCAACAACCATGTGTTGATACACTGCCACCTTATCTCACTCTGCGTTTGTCTCGATGGGTATACATTATTATTTAAACAAATTTTAATAACAAATAAACAATAATTTAAGTACGCATTTTCAAATTCAACTCTAAATAATGTTTTAATAAATAAAATTGAAATAATAATAATTAAAATTAAGAAATATTTAAATGTAATTTTGATTTAAGATATATTTGTATTATTCTTCAATAGAATTTCTGTTATTTTACTGGTGTAAAATCAAGCAAAACATAATTTTTTAATAAAAGTAATTTTGACAAATTTATTAACTATTTTTGTCTCAAACTAACAATTACCTGTTTAATTTAAATTATGTACGATTATTTTTGCATGATAATTATAAAATTGTTTATCACTTGTACTATTAAGTAATTAATAATAAACTTGTACTATTAAGTAATTAATAATAATTTTTTTTTTTTTCACAATTAAGGGTGATATAAAAGGTGGAACTGATGGAAAAATTGTCCATATGTTCCCATCCATGTTACAAAGTGTTTCATCAACCCTATACAAAAGAGGTAAGTTTGGAAGTCAAGAGGATAATGAACAAAAATTATTCTGTCAGTGTGTAAGAGATATAGTTTCTGCCGAATGTGTTCAACAAGAATTTACCGATAAACTTTGGACATACATGTTGGGTAAAATATAATATGTTTATTTTGCATACTTTTTGAGTATTAATAATAATAAAATATAATTTTAGAATGCAAATCATACAATGACCTAATTAGTTGCTTTGATCTCTTATATAAGTCAGTTAGAAATGAAACATTTAAACCACTTGTAAGTGTATCACTTGATAAAATATTTTCTCCTGTTATTTAAATTAATTTTTAAAATTATTAATTTTAGATTAAATCCACAAATGGTACAAGATTAGCCCAAATATTAAAGTCGTTGCCAGGTAATACAGCATCTAACCCTGAAAAATTATATGATCCTGTGCAGCTTCTGATTGAAATTGGTATTGAAAAATTAAAAAATGACTACACTCAAGCATTTATTTTATCTAAAATAGCACTAGCAGATAATTTAAAACTGGAGTATAATAACAAGTAATAAATAACTTGAATTATAATGTTACTATTTTAATATTTCCTAATCAAAATTTGATAAATGTATTTTAGATTTTGTAACATTGATTACTCAGAATGGTGGAACACATTACACTCTTGGATGATGTGGCTGTGTAAAATACACACAGTTTTAGATCTATCTGCCGTTACTGAATCTGTACTAAATATTTCGACACAATGTATTATGTCAGTTACTACAAATGCATTACGTTATTATCTCGGAGACTTGTCACCGCTGAAGTCTTTAAATTCTGTAAAATCAATACCTTTACAAATATTTCGTTCTTTGATTAATACACACTTTATTGAACATCATATACCAAAGTATTATAATTATAAATTAAACCAATATTTGGTATTTTTATTTAAAAAATTTTGTTGTATTAATATGTTTTAGAACATTTACATATGATAGTTGGACTTTACATTTGACATCGCAAAATAATAGTAGAAGAGTTATAAGTGTGTTCCATCGAAGTACAAAAAATATTTTGCCAAAACCAGTTTCAAGTAAAAGTGAGTACTAATAATTAGTTATTAAGAACCTTGCATGTGGTTATTTATGTGAAATTTAGTCAGTAATTAAAAAAAAATTCAATTTTTTTAATACATTTTTGAAATTGCTTGTAGGTTTAGTATGTCTACAGCTTTGTTTTTTGTCTACTTATGATATAGTTTCATAATATCTGGAGGCCAATTCTTAAATAAAAATTATTTTTGTCACAATTAACATCTGAAATCTTGTCACAATGCAATAAAAATACAACTTATACTCAAGAACCAGCCCCAACATGCATAATGTTATTGTTTTCTAGGTTCAACTAACGGTGACCACAAGGAGAAAATGTTGGATCAAACAACTGTCTCGCTAGAAACATATTACTGTGTGAATTTCCACGTTTTATCTGATTATCTAAGTTAATTCGGATAATAAAGGTTTGAAGAGAAACTAAACGGTATAAATTGTTTGTGTATTTTAAATATTGTTCAAATTTTAAGTTGCACAAAAAAAAAAACTGATTTTTTATTTAAATGTTTGAAATATTTTTTTATATTTATATTTTTAGTGCTTAAACATTTATTTGAACTTCATTTTTAGTATGTAATATTTAAATTTTTTACTATTGAAATTTCGATTTTTTATAAATAATTACTGTTTTATTATTTTAATGTATGATAAGTTTTGTTTGTTGTGATTCACTAATCATCTTACCACTTAAAAATTATAAAACAATAAAATGTAAATCCAAATGAAAAAAAGGTTGTTAATAGTATATTAGAAATGCTGACTATTGAACTTTAGATTTAAAACGGTTCATAATGTTCATAACCAACATAATCTGATACTATAGCGAAGACTTTTTCTCACCTCGGATCTCTTGTTATTTTACTTATTGTGCACTTAATTGAACCCATAATCTTTGTCTAGTGAAGTACGTTCGAGAGTTATAAGACGATTTCTACGAACTACTATTTGGTCTCGTAAACTGATTGATTATCTATTATATAGATATCGCATAGGTTTGTAAGTTTATAATTATAGTAATAGAATAGACTTTTTTCATTATTGGCGACGATAGCTATACCTACAGGCTACAATATACATACCTATAGCAAGTGTGGTTAATTTGTGTACATTGTGTCATGTACTTACTACTGTGGTTGAAGTAGGTATAATTAGTGTTCGCCAAATATTCAGTTCTATATCCTGGGCAGCGATTATCTACTTAAAAATGACCTGAAGGCTTATGGTTTATTGATTTGGGAAGTCTTACAATTCTTATATTTTATGTAACGACTTCATTCGAGCAAAATGGAACACGAACCTAGCTTTTAGTTTTTAACAACATATTGTTTTACTTAATAATGTAATATAAAACAAAAAATCCCAATTTTCGTTACAAATTTATGATTTTTAATCATTGTAATAGTAATAAATTTCGTGTTAAAATACTTAGTATTTTATTACAACAAATAAATCTTTTTTTTTTTAGGCTGAGGATATATTGGAACATTAAAGACATAGTTATTAAGCATATTTAGTTACATATACTTTTTTGCGTTGGACCTTCATGGCCCGCTAAGCTACATGATGATGATGATACTTTATATGAAGTTAAGCAATTATACTATTAGATTTTTTAAGTCTCAGAACAACACGTGTGCGATGCTCGACTTAGAAGGAGGAAATCTTAAAATGTAATGTGTTGTTAACAGAAAACATGTGACTGATATTACCACTATTCAATATTAAGTTTATTTATGTAGCACTTAGGCTTATATAAAGTAAGGATTTGGAAATGCAAAATTAAAAGGCATTTCAAATTTAAATACCTACTGACCAGAGCATAGGACAGTTAACAATATTTTGGTCAATTTTTTTTATAAGAAATGCCGTTTAAGATAACTTGGAATTAATAGTCAACACATAATATTTTTGATTTGAGTAAAAAAAAAAAAAGAGTCTTAAGAAAAAAATGTTTTAAGTTATTTTATCATAAATTATTTAAGGAATTAAACTGATACATGCGTATTTATAAGTAGCATGTGTTGACTATTATAGTGTATTGTATACCCGTTTGTTCATACATCTTTTATCAATTTGATTTCCTCAACATTTTATTTAAAAAAAATTGATTTCTTAATTTAATTTTTTTGGGATGTTCAAATGGCAAGTAGGCTTTTACATATTCGTAATGGACACTGTAAACCGTATAATTTCTAATTTTTTTTGCACACCCTACATAATTTTCGTTGTTTAATGGTTATGAAAAAGTGATTTCTTTTCCTAATAATTACTTTAATGTCTTAACAATATTTCCATAGGATGTAGTTGTTTTAACGGTCGTCGCAAAGTGCAAACAATACTGTACATAATGTACGCCGTATGCGGAACGTCCCACTTGAGTATAATTATACCCACCTACTACTCTTAAGGTCAATTAGGTTAATTAAGCGTGCTCCAATTATTATGTTAGGCGTGTACATATATTTTTTTAGGGAACTTATTCTACATGAGATTTTTGTTTTACCCTCAGTAGGTATTGTGCCGTGTATACCTATCTGTGCAGCGCTTATATTTTTTTTTTACCTAACCGGAACGCAAGTATAAACCCGCCCACTACCACAACCACCGCACCACCATCGCAATTAAATAATCCTATTCGAATCGGCCGTTTGGAGAAAACTTTCAAGTGCTCATGAGTTATTGTTTCGTTAGTAACAGGAGAACTTCATTCGGATGGATAGCATGTGTGCGGCAATATGTTTTTTTAGGTTTACCTCATAATACAATGATATGATGTTAGAAGTAAAAAATAGTTGTACCATCAACTCGGTTGATACAATGTAAAAAAGAAACTTTAATTTGTCCGCACATCATTATCGAGCCCGATTGCAAACAAAATGGTGAGTATACTTTATTTTAATCTTTTAACTTATTAATAAAATCAATTAAAAAAACAAAAATAATTGTTAATTGGTCGTTCCCTATAGTGCTGGGATTTGATCATTTTGTAAATTATTACAACAATCTGATTAAAAAAACCCTACAAGAATACATAGATAATACCTAGACAAATTCGGCATGTTTACATGGGACCATGTCCAGGAAAGAGATTATGTGGAATATATCCTTCATATAGTGACTTTTTGAAATCGATGGTCGTGGGTCAAGGAATTTTCATAAGGATTAAATACCTTCTATCTAAGCGCTCAATAATATCGTATCTTAATAAAATTGGAATGATTTTGTATAATTTGATGGTGTTTGGAAAAAACGTGCTAAGTTTGAAATTTAAAATGTTCAGTATTCAAAAATGTGTACCGGACCTATAACGTAAAAATCCAAATTTACAAACATATAAAATCGTTGTATGACTTATTAAATTAAATCGAGATTTACGATTCAGGTACTATATTTAAATTTTCATACCTACTTATACAAGTGATATTTATTTTGCACTGCGTCATCACTAATTATGACAGTAATTATTGAACATGTTTCGTGTATTTTATTTAAAAATGAAACGTATGGACAGAAGATTTTTTTTATGTATATAACTTGTTATATGACATACTTAATATGTTCATATACATTTTAGGTAACACGTTGCTTCATGATAGCTATTTTAAGTTTATGAGCTATACGAGTTATATTGGTGCAAAGTCCTAGACTTTTATGATTACAAGTAATTTTTATTATGATATTATGAACTTATAAAAATTGAGGTACTCGTACAAAGAAACACTCCAGTTTGCGTAAATTTAATTCATGAAAAATGCCATGTTAAGATTAGTAACTAAAAAATATATTACTATATTATATAACATAATTACAAATAAAAATTGACTCGCTAGTAGTTTAAATATTACAGTACATTTTTATTGATATTTTAAATTACAATTTTAATAGGTAGGTACTAAAAAAACGGTAAAAAATGTTTGTTGTCATTTGGTTTTGAATTTTGATTAATATACAAGTTATGCACTACCTATATATACTTTGCAACATAATATTGGTTACCGGCAACCCTTTATGGTTTAATATTTAATTTTTAACAAAATTAAAAAAAAAAAAGAGTCAGTTAAATTAAAAATGATAATAAGCAATACATATGATACGTGTAAAATTACTTAAAACGACGCGATGTTGCCACAAGAAAACCTAATAGAAATGTGTAAAACGCCAATAGTCTTAAAAACGCTAATGTTGATTGTACACAATATTTAGTAATATATTGCTTTGATGTTAATTTATTTCACATACTTGATAATAAAGTGAAATAAAAAATATAGGCCTATCTTGGCCTAATGTTTTTCATTAGTTTTGAATTTATCTTTAAATGGATTACATTTTCTCGATTTTTTTAAAGAGTTTTCAATGAAATTTTAAATAATAATTAGTTAGTTTTAATCTACTTACCTATTCAAATTTGTCGAACTAAATTAGATGATTTTTTACCATACATTGGACAATTAAGGAATCTATTATGTGTTTTTTCCTATGCAGTAATGCCTTAGCATAGACTGCGTGACCGTGCGTGGGCTATAATTTTAATTATTCGGTTAACATTAATTATCCTTAACGATTGTGCAACTTAAAAACTCAGACGACTTCCTGTTTGTTCCAAAAGAAAAACATAATACTACAAAAGTTAATAATTTATGCATTTTTAGTTATCTAATAAAAGTACATAACTCGTAGTTGGTACAGAAAGGCATTATTCTTCCTACTACTATCATATGGTTTATAGTTTTGATTCCAATTAACCAAGCAGTGTTTAATTTTCGTTAAGTATTAATCCAAAGTCTCTAACATGTCTAATGTGTGACCAGAATTAAAGAAAACCTAAAATTAAAATTTTTGTTTGAGAAAATAAAGGACCCTTTTGATTGCTCACAATGGGTTTGCCTCTATCCAAATTGCATTTTTATTTTTGACTTAAAGTTTTAATAGTTTATACCATAAAACAATAGTTTAGTAATTAATAATAAAACAACATTTATTTATCATTTCAATTGAAATTAAAATAGGTGCAAGTTATTTGTTGTATAAATAAAAATTGTAATAATGTAAAATCGTTATTCTGGTCTTTTTGGGGGCAATATGATAATTTATTTCATTGTGATATTGATCTTGGGATAGTTGTTTGTCCATTGATATTATATCTAGGGTTCAGGGCTGTTATAGTTAGTTGAGAAAATGAACTTTGAAAATCATTCTTAACTGCATTTTTTCTTAAATGTTTTCTCTGTTAAAAAGGGTCCCTAAATGTCACACAAGTTCTTCAATTTTCAAGTGATATCGTTGAAACATAGTGCCGGTATTGCACTGGGTATATTCTTTCCTTAAATGTAGATCCGATAGCGTGTTGAATTTATCCAATTTGTTTTTTTTTATTACAGACCGTCATGACGTTTATACACATTAGATACGCACTAATGTTGTTCACTTTGTTATTGATGTTGTGGTTCGTAAGTTCAGGGGCCGAAAGTTTTTTGCAAGAAAGTCAGCCATGTACATTTAATCCATTATGTTCGTGTACCAAGTCTTTCGATAGCCTGGGCGAAGTACGTTGCGTCGATTTATATTTTCCTAGGATACCGCTGGCCATCAACAGGTCTAGGTTGTCTACCCTTCATTTTCGCAACAACAACTTAGACGATGTGCAACCTTATTTCCTAGTCAATACTGGTAAATAATATAAAATCATATATATATATATACAAACAAAATAATAATTATAATAATTACAAAATATTAATAATTGTATTGTATAAAAATGTATTATACCTGAACACACTAATCGACTTAAGACCATAATTATATTTGTCATTTCTTAATACCTTAAAAAAATATTTGTGTGTTACAAACGATCGTTTTAAGAACCAAATCGTATATTAATTGATTTATTCATCAAAATTATTATAGTCTTAAGTGTAAATATTTATACTAATTAATTAATACGTGAATATTATTTTTTATATTAACAATCAAAACCTAATGCACATTTTTAAATAAACTTAAAAAATGTCCCTTCAAGTTAAACAAAGGTATAACTATATATTTGGTAAATTTAATAATACAATAATTATCTATAAATAGTTATTTTCAGTAGAATACAACAATAGTGGCAATCTATAAACATAAAAACTTTAAATCATAAAAAAATCGAATAATGTATTTTTTATACTATATATTTGACATATTCACTTGTCAACAATAATAAAAAAAAAAAATAAAAATATATAACATTTCATATTATGAAACTTGTTGATGTTACTAGTTGGAATGTCATTAAAATAACTAAAATACAACTAAGTATGATATTATGTTGTGGTTTTTTAAATTAAAATAGGATTTTAATAATTTGAACTCAAATAAGATCGATATCTAATAAATGATTATATAATAATCTATTTGAGGCACCTAGAACATTAGTGACATTTGATTGATTTCTAGAAAATCAAGCTCAAAGTTTAAATCCATATGGCGTTTTCGTTGTGGGGTTAGGTGATTTGCTACCAGATCGCAGCAAATAATGAATAATTCACTTATATATTTTTACTACCAAATAAAATGGACAATTTGTAGTTAAGCTGTGGACTTAACTCAGATTTTGTAAAAATGTCACTTATACCCCTTGTGTTCTAGGCGTCTCATTTTAAATTCACAGATAATAAATAAACAAATATATCATGTATAGTGAATGTTTTTTAACACCAGTGCATGTTATTGAAATAAGTTAAATAATTAGTTTTGGTTTTTAGGCCTGTATAAAATATCGGTCCAGGACAATCCGTTATCGACTTTACACGAGGAATCGTTGTGTGGCCTAGAACATTCGTTATGGGAATTGGAATTAGTTAATACTCGTCTCAACTCTGTGCCAAGTAGAGCCATACGCATTCTACAAAAATTGAAAATTCTTAATTTATCTGGTAAGATCTTACCAAGTTATTATTATGGTATAATATTTATATTTGCTAACAAGTTGAAACTTCTATATATCATCGTCGAGGTATAATAAAAGCTAGTAGAGAGGTATTGCTCAAAGTAAAAATAGTGGGGTTTTCTTAGGAAATCAAATATCTGAGATTAAAATGGGCGATTGGAATGGATTGGAAAAATCGTTGCGCGTGTTGAAACTCGCCGATAACGCTATCACATACTTGGGCCACAGGGCTTTTGATAGTCTAAGGTCGTTAGAAACTGTAGACTTATCCGGCAATATGATTTCGGAAATACATATCAATGCATTCCAAGATGGCCCAGCCAGATTGTATAAGCTCAATTTGGCCGACAACTTATTGAAGTTTATTCCTTACGTGCATTTATCCTCACCCTTAATGAAGTAAATACATTTATCATACTTTTTTTTATACACTGTTAATGGAAAATTTGAAACTAATTTTTGAAATGTATACAAAACGCATGATTTTTAAACAGATGGTTAAAGTATTTGGATATTAGTTACAACCTAATAGAAAGCACTAGAGGTCCGTCGATAACGACGCCGTCTAAAGGAGGCCGTCATAAGTTATTTCTCGATGAACTTCGCTTGGATTATAACCATATAAAGATATTGGAACCAATGAGTTTTCAGAATTTTGAAGCGATCAACAAAACATATTTCAACGGAAACCCAATCACCCACGTGCAGGTAAAAAGTTATTTAAGAAGAATTTTTATATGTAACACATATAAATTGGTATATAAAAATGGAAGTTGTAGAATGGTGTATTCTTGTTGATAAAACATTTGGATTACAAAAGATGCATCCTTTTTAGGATGGAGCGTTTCAAAATACAAAAATTCGTGAGCTGTACTTGGTTGACTGTGAAATTTATAATGTCTCTACGGACGCATTTAGAGGTCTAGAACCATACCTTCATACGTTGGACATATCCAATAACAACATAACTGAGTTTCCCGTTCGGAAATTACAACAAAACTTCAACGTTTTAATGAAGTTGGGTCTAGGAGATAATAAGATAAAAAGTTTGTATCCCGTCTCTAACCAAGTAATCGAAAAAATTGCAAAGCCTAATGAAAAGAAAAAAGCAAAAGACAAAAGTAGAGATAGAGAAGATGAAAAAAGATCACTTCCTCGAGATCCCAAGGAACACAATGAGTTTAATTCCTTACAAGACTTTGATTTCTCTGGTTGGAAGAACGGGCCTCTTCATATTCACAATATAAACGGGTAAATATACTAAAGTCAACATGTGAAACAATTTATAATTTTGTTTATAGTATAAAAAGTATTACGATTTTATGTATTTTAAAACCATATGTTTTTTCATTATAGTTTTAAATATCTCCGTCGGCTCTCATTGTCAAGGTTGACTACATCAGCCTTGACACCAGAAATGTTCCAGAATTTCACAAATGATATGGAAGAACTACAGATAACAGGATCGGATTTGAAATCTATTAAATCACACGCTTTTAAACATGTCAACGGTTTAAAATATTTAGATTTGTCGGATAATTCGATCAATCTTTTGGAATCCGAAGCGTTTAAAGAGGTCACATTTACATTACAATATTTCATTGTAGGTAAATTACTTATACATTTCTTTTCCAAAGTAGATTGGACATTCCCTGCAATACCTTAAACTAGCACATGCCTTCTCGTCTTCGTTCAAATCAGTACCAGGGGATGCATTTCGTTATTTATCCGACCTAAAGTATATGGACTTGAGCAATAACCACTTGCAGCATCTTCGAGAAGCCGCGTTTCATTTTCAAACCAATTTGAGAACTTTAAAGTTACAAGATTGTATGATCGACGCTTTGCCTAGTGGCACTTTTCAAGTCAGCATGAATTTAAATATAAAGTCATTCGTACAACAGATTATGTTTTTTTTTTAAGCAATGGTGTATATTTTTCTAGAGCGAATATCATGATGATTTAGAAGAGCTTTACTTGTCATCAAATGCATTGAAAAAAATCGACGAGCGTACTTTCGATAGCTTGAAGTCATTGAGTAAAATTCATTTGGATGAAAACCGAATTATTCGTATAGAAAAACACGCTTTTACGAATTTAGAAAGTTTGAGGTGGCTTATATTAAGAGGAAACAAAATAGACAAAGTAGACAACGAAGCATTCCAGAACTTGCCATATTTGCAAGAGCTTGATTTGGCTTATAACAATATTAAAAATATGGATTTTACATTTTTGGATCAAGTAAACTAATATCATATCATATCACCAAGTGCATCTAAATAATTGGCTATGTTTTTTCATAGGTTGGAATGCTATCGAACGATTTTCATATGAATGTCAGTCACAACCAAATGATTAAATTATACTTGAGTTCAAACTATTCGAATAAGGATCTATTTATTCAATCAAATATTCGAGTAACTAATTAATTATTTTATAAATAAGTATTAAAAGTCAAATAATTAAAAAATCATTTGTAAATATATAATTTGGAATCAATTATGTAAGCAAACTGGAGAAAGTAAAGTAGATATGGCGATATAAGAATGTGGTTGGTGGACCAATTAAAAGAAGGCAACAAGTGTGCTTTATGACATAAGGTGGCATTTAGGGTGATTAGACTATTAGATTATTGTATAGTAAGACTTTTGAAGATGAATGGATGTGAGTGTTGGGCATTGAATGTATGAGATACTAGGAAAACAGATCTAGCCGAAACTATAATATTAAGATAAGTGTGGAGGTCAGATAAGTAGGAAATTGTGCTAGTGAAAAAAATAATATGAGATAATATTATGTAGATAATTTTCAGATGTATCCATGTCCACAGTTTGGTGCAAATGCTTCGGAATCGTTACATAGGCCCTCTTCAGAGTGATAGTCACTGTTCTACTGTCGTGATTATACTTACGAGTTCAGTATACCTACGACAGCGACACGAGCAGTGACTATCGCTCTAGCCTCTAAAGATGGACTCTGCGACGAGTCCAAAAGGTCAGCTAAAAACTGAAGAACATAGATAAATCTAAAAATTATTTACACAATATTTCAATCTGTGAAAGCTTTAACACATTCATAAATATGAGATTAGTTGAGAATGTTAAAAGAACGTCAGTTCAAAAGGAAAATGGCAAGAGTTAAATTGTGGAATTTCGTTCTTCAGGTGTTGGATATTTCATACAACAGCATCAAAGAAATAGAAGATAAATATTTCACTCCAATGGAATCCAGCTTGAGTTACTTACATTTGTCACACAATAATTTATGGCAAGTGACCAGAAACGTATTTGGAAACTTAAACCATCTAATATGGTTAGACCTTGGGTACAATCGTATCAGCGAAGTGGGATTTGACGCGCTTAAAAGCTCGAGAAAACTACAAGTAGTTATGATGAACCACAACCGCTTGGTCGACATGCCCAATGATTTATTCAAAGGATTCGCCGAGTTGAGAATTGCTGACTTTTCTTACAACAAAATCCGAGTACTGCCCGATATGTTTTTCTCGGAAGACAGCTTGGAAGTGTTGAATTTAGCTCACAACGAACTTTCTCGCATGCCTGTGTTGGCATTTGCTATACATTCGGCAGGATTAGTTTGCGACATGGATTTGTCGCATAACATGATAACAGCACTGCCGGTTTTCGAAATGTTTTCACGGTTCAAAGTATGTTTACACTAAAACCATTACTAAATAAAGAAACTAGTTTACATACAGAGCTAAATGTGTTTCAGTCACTGAAAAAGTTGAATTTAGCTGGAAACCGTTTGGTTCGTTTGGAAGATTCTAATTTTGCAGCTTTACCACATTTGGCCTATTTAGATTTGAGTAACAACAACGATTTAATTTTCGAAAACAGAGGTCGAACGTTCTTGGGCTTAGATCAATCGCTGAAACACCTCAGACTGAGAAATATATCTTTACTAACCGTAAGTATATTCTAATATCGCTTAATTAAATAAACATTTTGTTATAAACAAGAAACGTGTTAAAATTGTAGGTACCAGAACTTCCGTTGCCATCACTCTTACATTTAGATTTATCTAATAATCAGATAACATCAGCATCGTCGGACAGAGCTTCGAATTTAACATCACTGCAGCATTTGGATCTAAGCCATAACGAGATGATTGGATTTCCGGCTATCATCATGAATTTACTAGAACTTAACAGCCTCTATTTAGCCAATAACCATATCTACGACCTCAACAATAACAGTTTAACGATGGGAGTTCAAAAGCTAATCACACTAGATCTAAGCTATTTGCCATTGGTATCATTTGAAGTTAGTACATTCTTGTTTTACTATTGTCAAACAGCTTATTTTAGTAAATTGATTGTAAAAATGGTTATTTTTAGACCGGTGCTTTAAATAAGATGGTATCGCTAAAAACGTTGGTGATTAGCACTTTTGTGGGTGTTAAGGATTTTAACGTAGCATCCGTTATTGCCGACGTACACACTCTAAAAAACTTGCATCTCCAGGTAAGTGTTTGTAATAATTTACTAAGGTAAATTTGAAGGATATCTGACGAATAGTGTTATTATGATTTTGTTTAGGTTGATAAAATGTCGCGTATCGGTAAGGAATTCAACGGACTACTTCCATATAAGTTAAGAAACATTACAATCAGCGGAAAAGCCTTACATGGCTTTTTAACAAATAATTTATTTCAAGTAAGTGGGCAAAACAAATTTATATTTATTAATTAATTAATTAAATTAAATTTATTTTTATTTATTTATTTATATTTATATATTTTTATGAGCGCTAAAGCCTATATTATTATTTAAAGGGAATGCGGTACCCAAGTTTGAGTTTAACAATTTTTAACACCAGTTTGGACACAATATCTGCCGATTTATTCCATCATATGGGAGCCGTCAGAAATATCAGTCTCGATGTTCGCAACAACTCGTTGAAGTCATTTGGAAACCCATCGACTAACGCTTTGCCAAACCAACATAGTCAAACGTTTTTGACTTCATTGAAAGTATCCGGTAACCCTTGGGTCTGCGATTGTAATATTGGGTACGTTTTATGTTTTTAACTTCTAGCTTTCAGAAATGTTCAAAGAATTCACTTATGAAATCGTTTTATCAAACAAGTTGTATCACCGCAGTACTCTTTTTTTACGTTTCGCTAACTTTTTTAACTTTCATTGATTTGAATTCCAGATGGATGGAAGTGTGGCATCGGAAAAAGAGACAGTTCTTGTGTAATGAGGAACCTACGTCACTGGCATTATCAAACAGATTTAGAGAAGCGGATCATCGTTTTATTTATAAATCTTCATGCTTGATTAGTGACGAAGACTTAGAAACCGCAAGTTGTTCGGACAAAAAGAAATCGTTGATGGACGCTTTCAAAACGGATATTGAATGTGGATGGGGAGCTGCTGGCAGATGTCAATCCCACATAATAGTCATCGTATCTGCTCTAGTGTTGTATGCAATGACATAAATCCCAGACCAACTTCATCACACAATAATTTAACGTAGGCAAAATCACAGATATAATTTGTGTCCAAGACTTGCTGGTTGGATTATAAATAATTTTAATACTTTCTAAACAATACAGGATAAAAAAAACATTTTTATTAAATATTTTGCCTAACAACTAACAACAATTACTTAAATAAACCGTATAACGATTGCATTTTGAAAAGGTATTTAGCGTTAGTAATAATGAACATATGAACAATAAAACACTTAAAAAATATTATATTTATAATAGTTAAATACTTTGTGAGCCGTTTAATTTTTCGTGTGTTTAATGGCGATATAACACATCCAGTACATCGTGAGCCGGTACGCTCATTACTTGTATATGAAAACCTCATGTCATTACGGTAATGGGCTAACGGCTTCAAGATGTATTGAACCGGCTATATTTAGTGTTGGTACCTTGTACTGCCTATTGTAGTTTTCATTGACTTTTAGAAATCTTGTATACAGGTTGAATGTGTATGAAATTTTGAATTCCGATTTTCTTTATAATTAATTTGGAGTTGGAGTACCAAACTTTGTTTAAAATAAGAAGGAAACCGATTAAAAAATAAAGGGCATTTTAAGAAAGGTTTAAAGATGTTTCGTTCAATACAAAAATCGTAAATTATTTTTACACATTTAATATTTTAGATACAATAATTACTTGTAGGAGATGTAATATAATTGAAGAAATTCACTAAACAATTTTAGTTTTTTATTAGGTTTATTTTTATTGTCACTGGAGAATAAAATATTAGTAGTAAAAATAAAGTACACAAAATAATATATACTTAGAACTTATTTGATTAAATAGTTGGTTAAGTCTAACATAAGTATATTTTAATATTCTTAACGCATTTCTATGTATGTATGCATTTTTTATCACTTAAACGCATTTTGTTTCTTCTCGAGTTTCTTTTATTTCTAACTCAAAATATTCTTTATTCATCGCATTGCGAATTTTTGGTTTATAGATAGGTTTTAATATTTTGGTTTATATTTTCGTCAATTATTATTAAGAACAAATTATTTGAAATTTTACTTTTATTTTCATTTTTTTTTATTAATAACTAAACAGGAAGTGTTTTTTCTTGCTATTTAAAATTGTTAAATTAAACATTTTAATATCCAAATTTATTTTAACCCCTGTTACTGAAAATTTGAACCACAAATGAATTTTGTTAATAGCCTAATGTACATAATACTCAAGTGACTACACTTATATTAACTTTAATTAATTTTTTAATCATATCGAATTTGGATTTTTCGGTAAGTATTAGTCAAGGAATTAGATCAGTGTAACACATTATTATTTTACTAATTAGTTAGAAGTCTACTCGTATTTTATCAGATTGTAAATTAGACTTTAAAAATGGGCTTTCTTATTGTATAAACATAATGTTAATAACTGGTCTGTTATTTATATTCTAATATTATAACATCTAAAAATGATATATAGCTTGACGTGATGTGTCATGTGTTTAGTGTTAACCTGATCACACACACATATTACTTACAATGTTTATGAGTGTTATTAATTATGTATGTACATCTTATATAATAATAATGTTATTGATCATTTATACAAATAAATAGTAGAAAATGATTTTTCCGCCAATTTGAAATCTCAGTGTTTAATTATCGAATTAGACCATTCCTGTAATTATTGTGTACAACAAATTATTATTTACTCCTATAAAATATTTAGTATTTTGTATTATTAATATTTGTTCAAAATTTAGGCAAAATAGTTTAAATAGAGTGCGAAACGTCCAAAAAAATAATATCTCGAGGTACAATTAAAACAATTTAGATTAAAACATAAATATTATTTATTTGTTTGAATGACTAAGCTTTAATTTTTAACTTGAAAAATGCTACTATAGGAACCCAAATAATTGATATTTTTTCATTATACATTAATGAAATGGTCATTCATAACAACTTTTTTTTTGTAAATTATAAAAAAAACTGTACAATATATTTACAAAGTACAAACTTTAAAATTTATAAAACTATATAGTCCTAAAACGAAATCACGTTTAATATGTATGCCAAATAATAATATAAACTATTTATATTTCCAAGTGTAATAAAAACTTGATAATTAAAATAATTACTAACTATTATTAACTTTCAAACAAGTGACAACTATTATTTGAACGTAAAAAAATTAATTTTAGGTTATATAATAAAAATTTGTTATGAACAATAACTTACAGTGAATAAAAAAAAGATTCTGTTTTGTTAACATTGTTTTATAATTAAAAACAAGTCTTGCGAATGTTTAGTATTTCAGAGTCACCATACTTTAGTGCAATCCAAGATAAATTATACCACAGACATTTTATAGTAAGATGTTGTCCCTCAAACCATCTTTGTTTAATCAAAAAGTATTAATAACCCTATAGGTATTGTCTATTCTTAACATACATGATGTATTATTCATTTTAATGGTAAAATTGTGTAGGGCGTTAACAGTAAATTCCTGTTTTGACTTTATTTATTGTGAGTCAAATTTATATATTTTGCGTTTTTTATGTTAATACAATAATGTATAGGCACTACGGTCTTTCTTATAGGTACCACGTTACTTATAACAAAATTAAAATTGTAAACAATGTAAATATTACCGTGCTCCCCTCGGCGAAACGCCTTTTGTATTTTGAGCTGACAACCAAACGTGAGTTTCTATTTAATTAACGATAATAACCTTAGTATGAACAGTACCTACAATACAGCATATTAATCGGACTCTAGATTTATGACTTCTATAAATTAAGTGCCGACTTGACCTTTGTTTCATTATTATGAAATATATACATAGTACATAGCACAAGGAGTTTTAATCAAAACACCAAAAATGCATGTTCTCATATCCATAAGTACATAAAGACCTAAAGATTATATGGAAAATTATAAAAATGTATAAAAAAAGTAATGTCATTATTTTGTTTGTAACTATGATTATTTTATTTTTTAGACCGCAAAACCCTTTGTTTTCATATTATGTATATTCAATTATTTAAAGGCAAAAATATTAGGTTTTTTTAAATATTAAGATACGTACGAGAATGTTGGTGGGAATTAGGCAAAACTTAACCTAATGATAATCAATTTATATCTATAACCCTTTATATATAAGTATATATATATATATATATATATATATATATATATCTGTTTTAGTTGAATAACAGAAAGTAATCTTAGGAAAAAGTCTATATGGTTGTGATAACAACAGATTTCTTTATATGAAAATATTTGACCGATAAACGAAAATTGATCCTCAATTGCAAATTATATTACTTACTATTGGAATTAAAGCATTAGTATTTCATTGTGCCTTTCACTTTTATAGAAGCTTTTTGTTTTTAACTTTAAAGTGAGAATATATTTTGAAAATCAAGCTTTATTAATTTGTTAAGTAGCATAGAACTAGTTAGTAGTTGGTCTCATAATACCGAATCATGATGACGATAAATGTATTTTTTAAATGAAATTTCTCTGTTAGTTTTAATATTCTTAAAAAGACTTGATGGTATATGATTTATGAGTAGTAGTTACATTTTTAAATATACTTAAATGTATACAAACATATTTTAAATATATTTTTAAGACAGGAGTGTTAAGTAAAATACTTTTTATTTTTTATACTACCTAATTGTTGAATAGAAATTAAGACCATAATCATAAATATCTATGTAGCTTTTTGTTGGTAAATACTAATTTGTCAAGTGTATTTTAGTCTCAAGTATTAAGAATAAAATCAATGAGGCAACTAGTCTAAGGTTTCCTTTAATTAGGCAAATCCATGCAGTTGAATAAACGTAGTCAATGTATTGTTTATTATTGATTTTTAATAGACGATTTTACAATATATATTTTTTGGAAAAACAGACGCGATGTGAATTATTATTATTAACAATAAAATCAAACAATTATTCATTTGACATTTATTTCAAAATAAATAGTTTCCTAAATGGGCTGACGTTAAGTATTTATACTATATCAATATCGAAAAATATCAATTTGATCTTTTTAAATTTTTAAATTGTTGTATTATGATTTGTAAGTATAATCGAATTAACCGTACGATCAATGTTTTAGTTTAATATTTTTGTGAAAGAAAATGTTTAGGAAAGAAAACAATGTATATTCCTACATTAAGTGTTTTTATAGAGTTTGAGTTCTACTAATGCTTTTTAAAAAAAAAAAAAAGATTTAGGACCTAATTATTATTTACAATAAGCCTGTAATCGTTTTCGGGATCCATTGCGAAGGTTTCGACGTATCGATTTTTAGGCTGGCCTCGCTGTGCGTTCCACGGTCCATCAATGTCTTCACTGTTGCAAAACAAAAATATACAATGGTCAATGTACATGAGGCAAATATAAGTAAGTGAACGATGGATAGTATTAGCTTTTACGTTATCGTTTATTACTTGTTTGTCTTTTTTGCGGATCTCTGAATGTAGGTTTTTAGAATGTTAAAGTAATTAGGCACGTCACCGTCGTCGGATTGTTGGTTGAGTTCCATTGTCGCATCTCTGTTGTCATTTTTACGCAAAAGCGACATCCTATACAAGAACCAGTCGTTCGGGTAGTTTGGTACGTTCGTGTTGCGTTTGCCGTGTGCTGTAAGAACAAACGTTTTACATAAAAAAAAAAGAAAATTCAATAATTCATTAACATCGATATACTTACCGCCCCAACACGAATGACCGTAACTTAAACATGCTGCTGGAACAAAAGAAAAAAACATTTTTTTTTATTAGCTATTAGTATGGATTGACTCAATAAACATTAAATATAATTTAGTTTGTCATGTTTTTGGGAACTAGACATATATCTAGTCTTCGTAGTCATAACTCATTGAAATTATGAACAAAATATATTGACAAAGCGGGCAGCAACTTCACGGTTCACCCTTGGTACAATGTTATATTCACTTAAATATTATATAACTCAATTATTTTATAACTTGCCAAGCTCTGATAATCTACCGCGATTGAATATGAAGTTGTTTTACAATAACTGTTATTTTAAAAATATAATAGTATCATGTAAGTAGGGTCCGTCTGTGTTATTATATCTTAGTTTGTCCGTCCGTTACATATTTAGTCATTTCACATAATTATTCTAACATTCTTATTACAACTATTTACATGCTTCTTTAGTTTTTCTCATTTAATGCCCAATACCCAAATGCTTAATCATTTTTTTTTAAACATAAAGTGGTACCTTGTTATTGCACCAAACGCCCTTGGTTCTTTCCATTTCTTCAAATTTAAACTTTGAAATACAACTATTTTTATGATCCACACACCAAAGTTTGTAATTATTTTACATAACTTTGTAAAATAATTACACAAAGACTGTCTGACACAAGAAATGATTGGTTACCTATCAAAGTTTGGGAGTTTTTTTTTAAAATAATCTAAAAAATGTTGCCGTAATAAAATTGTGTAGAAAACCAAAATATAAAAGTAACTTTTTTCGTGTATAGTCAATGCGTTTCTTAAGACAACAAAACATTTTCAATGAAAACCGAAAGGATATTGGGAATAGTTACTTTGTACAAATAATGAAATCGAATGAGAAAAAAACATTTTCTTGAAGTATTTTGTTATTATACCTCTTATAAAGTGTTAGGTTCAGCTACCTTTACTTTTTACCTTTCCATTCTTTCCTCTCATGCTAACTTCGACGTTCGCTTCTTTTTAATTATTAGAATAAAAATAACTAAATAGTAGTATCTATATTAAATTTATGTTACTTTCAACTTATGTAGAAATAAGGGTTTTTAAAATATTTTTAATTGTAATATATTAACGACTGTGATCTAAAATTACAATTTACATAATATTAAAATAAATATAATCGTATTTTTTTTATCATATATTAACATAATCAGTTTTTTAGTGAATTTTGTTTAGGTTGAACACATGATCTTTTATAAATTACGCAATAAAAAATGTAGAATAAAAATTTGAAAAGTAAAATAAAAAATATCTCATTAAGTTTTTATATCTTTGAATATTTCCTTTAGCTCTTAAACTAAAATTATCCCCGTTATATTACACATAATTTCATTCCCTTTCAAGCTGGTTTTATTTTTATTTAGATAACAATTGTTACCTCAATATGTAATTATTTATCATTAAATCGTTGAGCCTAATTGTACTTATACCGGGAGGTGTGGCGCAGTGGGCATCTCAGGTGCCGCATGACACTTGAGGTTAAGCTGTGTCCGTTGCTGCTTGATCCCGGATGGGTGACCACCCGGGATTTTTAGCGGCGACCCATACTATCAACCCCGGATGCATGGCTGAAATGCCATGCACCCCATCGACCGAACTGGCATAAAGTTAGTCATAGCCACTCCCGGTCAATACGCCATATGCATATTTTAATTTTTTTATTGTACTTATAAAGTCTAAATAAAAAAACAGTACCTTTTTTGAAGGTATTTTGTTAAATATTTAGTTAAATCAACGGCAATTTGTATTAGATTTACTAGGGATGGTTCAGGATAAAGGAAAAATACTGAAACTTATCCAGCGCGGGTATTAACTATACTATTATATAATATAAGACGTATATGTATAAATATAAAAACGTTTAGCCAAATAAATAATAATTCAATTCGTTTTACAGCAATATTGTCAATAAAACAAATTGCAGTCGCGGGGGCGGCGGCGTTCTTAACTAGGTCGTATTCAATTACTTTTCGGTGTTTCGGAACATTACACACGTATTTCATTTCAGACAGATATCAAAAATGTTATTACTGTATGCAAACAACAATGCTATTACATATCTCTTGAATTTGAATTTTGGCCCACGACTACACGCATTTTCGCTGATCCCACATCTAAGACGTTACTGCGTGTATCATTATTCAATTATTTGTTTTTCCACGTCTAGTATCAAGTGTTTACTGTCAAATACGACATAACGCTCATTCGCGGGTCAACTTTAGCCCATGAGAAGTATACGATAACTGGTTTACTATAAAAATGACTTGGCGCACAACTAGCGTTATTGTTCATTTTGTTTAAGTGGTATTTATTAGATTAGATTGGTGTTTGTATTTTGTGTACCTCCCTTATTTTCTGTACCTCTAGTCAAAAAGGGCCAATCATGTTACGTTCAGCTTATTTCGGAAAAGAGAAGATACCAAAGATCCAAGATCGTTAATGATGTACCAAATACTGCTATTACTGGACTAATACACTACTGGATTCAAGTATAATTATTTTTTGGTTTTTTTAAATGTCTTATACTATATGCTATTAGCATTTAAATTTCATTTATAATTACAATTAGTAGATCGATCGTGGGGGACCTACCACAGGATCATTAAGCTATTATGCGCCTCTCTCCGGCTGGTAGTGTAGTAGTAAGTACACAAATCCTACATTGTTACGATCAGTAGAAATAAGGAAAATAGGTATAATATATTAGCGTTGTGGGTAACTAATTAAGATGCGATTATAATTATTGTTACCTTTTCGAGGCCCGTAAAGTAATTTTGATGGGTTATGGTCGATTATTAGTACTCTGTACATGAATGTCGCTAACGTCTTTTCAATTTTAACACACTTGTGACCTTTATAAGGAAATGCAACTCAAAGTACTACATTTTATTAGGTGTCTACTTACATAGTCGCGTTTGCATCGTCTCAATGTTTAATAATTTTTCATATAATCGTAAAATTTTACCGAGATTATATTTTCACGTAAAACACTATAATTCTTATTATAAGTCAATGTCATTCTTTATTAAAAATACTCTATTATTATAGATATTGTCGGTAGCGTTCAGTAGGTACGCAAGAGTGGCAAGTGATATACTTCCACGAAACCAGCACATCTAAGACTATTAACCAATGTTAATTAAATGTAGACAATATTAAACGTATGATTTAACAAGTTATTATTTTTCTTTTAATACAATTTTTTTTAAACTAAATATTTCAACTGATTTTTGGTTTTTAAATTAATCGCATAATTACCTAATTTATTTGTATTCACTATTTTTGTATACATATTATTTGCACGAAATTATAGAGAAAATTCCGGTGACAAAAAAAGAGACAGTACCACCAAACTAGATAAGTTAATTATTACTTGTTTTCACTTACTGCAGTGACACATTTAATTTAATGTCAACTTACTACTCAATTAAGGGTATTTAATTTATTTTATCAACATTAACTTTTTTGTTCTCGATAATCGGTTAGCCATCATGCCAACAACAAACTATTACTACATTTTACTATGTTCTACCTTTATTTAGTAGCAATTATAAATATGTTATAAGTTTATAAAGTTACCCTAATCTGAATTAACTATTAATGTTGAGCTTTATAGTGTTAGCATATAATAAAATACTTATTTTATTATCTAATGCTAAATAAATCTGTTCTTTGACATTTTAATCTTGACCAATATAATAACACTAAATCGGCCAAAAGACTTTATAGTAAAACTAACAAGTAAAAACACATCATTGTAAAATTAAGACCCCATAAACTAATAACTATACATCGAAGCTAGGACATGTTAAACAATAATTTCACACTGTTTGCCCATTAAACATATTCTTATTTTACATTTATATTATATATCCAATATTTGGATATTCTTAGGTTCAAAAATATGTTGAACGTTAGTTTTATTTATTATTTCATTACAACTGCATTATCATGTTTTGCTCTAATATCCCGGGAGATTTCTTGAATTACATATAATTGTGTATAATACTCTAAAATACATATTACGTAATCTCGTCATTTTGTAATATATTTACAGCTAAGACAAACAGTTTTTTCAAAACTCATAGTACTTAATTATATTTTTTAACGAACTTGAAATAAATAATCGTGACGATTTTTGAACTTTTAATCTAAATTGGGATTTAATGATATAAACTATATTTTATTGGCGCGTTGGGGCTCGTGTGTTTTAATTAGGTTTTTAAGTATTTTCTGTAGGGATCGAGAGTTAGTATAAAATTGTACTTTTAAAAAATGCATGTAGAACCATTAATTATTATTTATATGATAATAAGGTAATACACAAACGTGGATAACTACTTTGGTTTGAAAAAAACTAATTTATATATAAATACAGTTTTGAGTGTTAGGTTGTTTTGTGTTTAGAAATCTCAGTGCAAAATTTTACTATAACCAATGTACTTCCTCCAAAATGTAAAGAAAAATAAAACACAATTAAAGCGGCGCAGATTTTATTACATTTATATTTCTGTGGCTAATAAATATTGTATGATATTTGCTGCAATCTAAATTACATGTTTACCTACATTCAGTTATATTAAATGGATGCATACTGTTAGGTTATTTTTGTCAAATGTCAAATTTATACATAATATATTCTTTTTTATCAAAATATAATAATTGACACTAATCTATTTTTAATATACATTTATATGACTTTGTGATTTATTATTATACTTTGTAAGAGTGTATTTGGTATTTAATTCAAACCTGACGATAGCTTAGGCGAAAACTGGAAATAAATTAAACATTTTAATATAGCTCAGGTTACATTACCAATTATTATTTATGATTTGTATTACAATAAATTACTAAATTACTTAATACATAAGATGTTTAATACTATTAAAATACTTCGACTATTTTTTATAAAGTACAAGTGTGCTACACTTCAAAGTTTAAAAATAAGTTTCGTCGATTTTTTCGGCAGTTTTTTCTATTTTTGACTTTACATCATTTTATTTTTAAGACCATTTTCTGATCGTTTGTATTTGAGAAACATTGGAGGATAGTTGAAAATTTAGCGTGGCTTCAGACAAAAAAAAAATATAATAAAAATAAGCATATAATTGAAAAACCAATACCTTCTCAGCTCCCCATTGTAGTTCAAATATAACAGGTCTAAGATAAACGCGAGCAAATCCTTATTTGCTTTTCGGCGATACGACGGTAGTCAGTCGCATTAACAACAGGTAACAGCCATTTCATATTTTTCACAATTGATTATTGTTGTCGTTTCAATCAAAGTTCAGTAATACAATATAAAATAAAATTGAGTTATGCTACGGATAAGGTTCATAATTGTTTTAATTGTTGGACGTCATCGTTCATGAATTTAGCCTAGTAACGCAAAGTAGGTTTTTAATAAATCAGAGATTCGAGGTTCAGAAAAAAATGTTTTGTATCTGTAATATTTTATGTACTAAAGTTTCAGCACTTATAGGGAAATTATAGTTTATACGCATTTTTGGGGTTTATATAGTCTTATAAAAACTAATCAATCCACAGCGTAAACTTAAAACCAGGTGTTTATAGGAAACTATTAAACATTTACTGTTCATTTACTAAAAGTTGTTTTATTCGAAGTTGAACCTAGACCTAAAGTGTAAAGTAAGGTTTGTATGTAATTTGTTTAAACCCGAATTGTACAGAAGATTTTTTAAGGCCCGGTTAAGGATGTTCGAACCTGGAGAAGTTAATAGCTTTAACGCCTCTGTACACCTATAATTTATATTTTTTAAATTTAATGTCTAATAAACTGTTAAGTTTAAGCATGTTATAAAAAAGGTTCAAATGTAGCAATACATTTTTGTTTAATAATGTTTCAATCATTTATAATCGCTGTAAATTCTGTTCAAATATTAAACATGTTTTTTTCGCTTTGTATTTGTTTGATTAGAATAACACATAATGTATGTATGCATATATATATATATATATATATATATAATTTTGTCATCTGAATATTTTGCTGTGTTTAAACTTTAAAACTAGATTGTCACATTTATGACACTTTATCATGATCATAAACGATCGTGCCATTTGTATTATGGAAACGGTAGGGTCGTTGTTCAATTATTTTATATAAAATGTACAAAGTTTTACCTTTTGACGTTCATTAAATTATAACTATGAATTAAATGTTAAAAGATTCTGGACAATGATGTAATTGTTTTATACTCAGTAAGAGTTTTTTAATGTAACGTTAGATAAATGGCCACAACGTCACTGGAGCTACTGTTATTGTCAAATCACGTAGGTAAAATTATACAACATTTTATATATTCATTATAATTGACCAAAATTACATAGTATTTATAGTACCTGTGTGATGTGGAGATGACATAGTGTTGTTTTTACAACACAATATTAATATGTGGTTTATTCAATCGACAAGTGCATCGACTTGGCAAAACAAATTAAAATTATTACAATCACACACTTGACACGTAAAAACATAAACACAGCATACCAGCAAAAACAAACGCCATAAACAACTATATGTTTTTCGAATTTGAGTTCGAGAAATAATTACAAAATCATAATATAATATTGCTGTTATAAATCGATGTCGCCTGATATTATGCATCACTTTTTGTGTATAATATAATAGTAACGCCAATCATTAATCATAATTTATAGTATCACTTTATAATATTTATTTTTATCAGTTAGTATGTTTATAAGGTATACTTTGATTTTAAAATACCCTATTGTTAGTCTACCGTATTCAGTATTTTAAAATGTGAAAAACCAATAGTGAAATCTGCCTGTTAAAAGAGAGTTAATAGTGTTTAACGTTACTTTAATATTAAATGACAAGAACACAGGGGACACTTTCCTTATTAAATTGGTGCATTACGAGTAAGAATTTGACAAATTTACACAAATTTTTAATTTTTATCACTTGTCTAACTGTTATGTACATAGATTTCGATAATAATATAATAAAGGGGCATATTATATTTGTATACCATTGAGTATTTTAAATGAGACAGTTTGAATTTCCCATCAAATTGTTTTCATTCTGACATTTGAGAACTTTGACAAAATCACACTTCATGTTATACTGTATTGTTATAAGCAGAGGTGGATCAATAATAAAATATCACAAATATTTGATTGTCGTTTTATATGTTATTTAAACGGTAATATAAATTATAAAAATTATAGACACATTAAGTGCAAATGAGAATTTAATCAATATAATGCAAAGGGTGCTATTAGCTACATTAAATACATATTGTAAACAATAAATTAATCAATTAAAACTTGCTTGTATAAGTTCTACTTACATGGCTCTAAATTTCTAAATAATTTGTGAAGAGGTATAGGTTATAAAACTGTATAAGATAGACTGGTTTTTAAGTTTAAATTGTATTTGTTTTTGTATAGGTATTATAAATAAATTAAACTTAACTAAAATATTTATTCGATACGAAAAAAAGATTAGTACCTACATAATATAGTTTTGTCATCTAAGGTTTTGTTCGAAGCTTAACGCAATTCCATAATGCGTATACTATGTTGTTTTTTAAGTAAAAAAATAAAATAATAATAAATAATAGAATGCTGTGTTACCTCCTTGTTTGCTCTCGGAATCGTCCACCGAACACACGATCAACAGGAAAATAGATATCTTCACAAAATATTGGTGCATTTTGTATGATCGCACGATTTGTCGTCCTGTTCACCTGTTGCTGCTCATACACGTCCTCGGTAGTAAGTTTACTTACGGCCGCTTCACGTTAACTGAGAGAGCCGAAGAGTCACCCCTGCATTTGTAGCCCATTTTATACCAAAATGTTTGTATGTGAATACGTGCTAACCCCCACAGTCCTTTCGGGGTGGCGTGGGCACAAGAGCCGCAACGGTCGTGCGCATCTTCGGTTATATTGCTGTAAAAACCACAAGAAGACCTGATGTTTTTAAATATTTTCACTCTAGAAAGTTCTATAACATTAATATAATAGGTATAAAGGAAAATTGAATTTCCGAAATTCTAATCAGCGTCTATACTAGAAAAAAATAGCTCAACAACAAGGTCGGGCTACACGAATAATTGTTAAAAAATATTTTAGCATTATATTTTGATCAAATATAAAACCTTAATAATATTGTTTAGAATGGGGCTCAAAATTTTTATAAAAAAATCTAAATCTGTTGATTTATTATACATTTATTTTGTGTGCATGAAAAACGTTGTTTTTTAAATATTGTCTCCTAGAATCGAGGACCTAGATAACAATAATTCTGTACTGACTTCATAGTTTAGCTTTGATAAATATTTTAAGTTTTCTAACTATAGGCTGCACATATGATATTAAGACGTCGCACAGTAGTGAAGAGTCTTTATTGGTAGTTTTTTTTGTCAGACTAACACAGGCACTTCTATAGGAGAAATTACCTTTTCCATTCAATTTTTTATCGTATTTGAAAAACTGTGTTTTTTTAGTTATCTTACAACAACAATTTGATTGACTATGAGATTTTTTCGTGTGTTCATTAAAAAAAATAATTTTATTTATTTTAACGGTGTTTTATTTAAAATTTAAAATTATAATACTCAATACCGTACAACTAATTAAATATTTTTTTCAAGTTAATAATATATATTTTACATCCCTGGTAAAAAGTTAAATTTGGCGCAATTTTCCTTATATCTTTTTATTGAGGAAAAAAGCTGCATAGTTTCCTTATCATCTTTTTGTCAATTTACTAATGATCTATTTATTTCGGCACCATTTCAGCCCAAATTTCAGTGAGGGTTCTAACTCCATCAATTTCGGTTATGTCATTGAATTCGGAGTGTAAACACCCACCATTTAAGTGTTTATCAACGTATAAAAACCACTTCAAAGTAAATCCAATACCTTCAAAGTTTCGCCCTTTAGAGTTGTTTATAAAAAATATATATATTGGGTAGTTAATTTAAATTTGCATACAATATTAGTCGGATATATCGAATACACAACGTGTGACGTTATCTTCATGTCACAGACAATTTGTGCAATTACCAAAAACAATGTATTGACACTTTAATGCATTCTGGTAATATAATACGCCATATCTGTTATGTTAATGCTTTGGAATAAACTCATTCCGAGTAAACATTATTGTAGTTATAACCTTCGTACTTTATTAATGCAGTTTTAAGCTTAATATTTTATAATCCATTGCATTGGTTTTTATTTTCTAACCTTGCCCACCATGATTAGAATACAATTCGTATTGTGTATCTCAACTTTTTAAAAAATGGAACTAATATTATTTTTTTGAATTATAATTAAAATCGTATTTGACATAAAAGTGTTTTCCGTTGGACGTTTATCTTCGACGACGTGTACAGACGAAACAAGATTGACACATGTGTGAGCAAATACATCCAAAAGAGCATCAGGTGCCTTAAATTTTTGTAATATTTGAACACCGTGGATTTCTTATAATACTGTAATATTAGTTTTTTCAGCAAGAAAAGTGAAGTAGACACACATTTTTGACAACATTAGGTACAATAACAATAATTGTGAAAACTCGATGATGAAAATATTTACTAGGTAACAATATTATAATATGTCACGTCTTCTAGACTAGAAATTGATTAGTATTTCCGTTTCTTCATTTTAAAATAGAATATAAACTAATTGTATTCTAGTGCTTTCTGCAATGGCAAATAAAAATTAGACACTTCAAACGTTTACGTAATGACAACTATGAAAAACACAACCTCACTAATAGAACTGATATAATGAAATTAGGATGTAAACAAAATTTAAGGTTTTAAATTAAAACTTTCTACTTATGATTGGGAACCATAACAAAAGCTTTTACACGTTTTCCAATTTTAATCCGAAAGAACCTATATTAGTTCATCAATTAAACAAATTTGTTTTATGTAAACCTTATTTGTTTAAAGCCGTAGCTTTTTTTGGATTAAAAAACATTTAATAAATTATGTTTTTATTGTTTTTGAAATCTCTCTAAGGAAAATAATATCATCGATCATTGACGTTGGAGTCGAGGGCGTAATGTTTGCGAGTTTTGAGTGAATGAACAAACTTTGCCTTTCCAACCACATCAATTCAACCATAAACACAACATGTAGGTTATGTTAGATACCTATAAAGTTAATGAAAAAATATTAAGTGATTATATACAAAGAGTAAAATTTAGGTAGTAACACGCAGATACACATATTTATAACTACGACAGAGTATAATATATGGCGAGTAAAAATAATAATAAAAACAAAATTATAGGTTATAAAACCAAAAAGAGGACTTTAAAAATCCTTATAAATTCCGAAAAATAATACTGCGTTGACCAACATAGTGCTTTATTATCATCACGCCATGAACTCAAATGAGTTCATACGAGTTTTATACGAGTTTGAAGAACTTTAGATTATGTATTAATCTACTATACTGTACTCAACTTTAAATCTGCATTACTGACACAACTCTTGTATGTATCTTCGCCTATATTTCCCTATAACACCTAACAACCTTAGATCTTCCTAAACTCTATCCGACCACTTTTGCTTAGGGCGTACTTTGGGTCATTTCGAATCTGGTATTCATTTTGAGACTTGTCCGAATAATTCTTCTGCGATATTCACACAAATCCAATTCCGTTTTCTTATAGGTTAAAAAAAGAAATGTTTCATCTAGATATACATGATCTAAAAAAAACGTCATTGCGTATAATGTATAAATGCCATTATTTTAATTATTATTTTTAATTATCTTATGTTTTTATTTTTCCCATCACAATGTTCGACTATTAATAAGCGTCTTTCATAAAAAAGGGCGTAATTCATATGCACTTTCGATGCGTGTATTAATTATTTAAAAATAGCAATGAGACGTCTGTATTATAGTTACAATAATATACATTGTACACTGCTTAACATGCGTCGGTTTGCTTTATTTGATACATTTGTAATAATCAGTGGGTGATAATATGAAAAAACTATTGAGTAATTAAATATCATTGATGTCGGGCGTTTGTAAAAAAAAAGAACAAACAAAAGAGTTCTCGTACAAAAAAAAATCAAATAATACCTATACAGATATTTTGACAAATTAGTTTACCATTCATTCCTATTTTTTGTATTAACTAACCTTTATATTGGTATATTATTCCATGACCAATGGCGTCAGTACTGCTATAGAATATGAAATAATTATATCGCCAATCTCATCGATTTCCGCTAATTGCGTTAAACAAACGACCGGATGGTTTTTTTTAGTTGTGATATGTTAAATATATTAAGTTTTACGATGTACTTTAAAAGCATAGATCGTTAATCGAACTTTTTAGAAAATAGATAGTTAAATAGGCACATAACTCTAAATAAGAACTTAAATTTATATAATGATTATCGTTTCAATTGTAATCAAATTATTGTTTTTTTTTTACAAATTTTCACTTGAATTAGATAAGTTATAAATACCAGTAGGATACATAATATAATGTATGTTATTTCGCAGACTTATCAATAAGTGTGTTGCAGTGTTAATTATATTAGAGAAACTTCAAATTCATGGATTAGCCGAACAAAAACCTATTGTTCTAAGTTCGGTCCAATTTTGTTTTTTTAGCTAACTCGTTTCCGGCCAATAATGTAGTAAGTAATAACGTTACCGTTAACAAGATATATTATAAACGTGTGTGTGATAGTTAACAAATATGTATAAGCCATTATCCCTATTTATATCTACTATATAACGATTTTTTTAGGTGTTACCAATGGCTTTCTCTTATGTTAATTATTCAAGTTATGTACATATATCCTCGACAAAAAAAAAGTATTGCAAATATTGTACAGATTGTTTTGTTAATATAAAGAATAAAAAAAATGAAATAAAAAATGTAGATTTATCAATGATACACATAAGTACACGTTATTTATGACAATTAATATTATAAATTATTAATTATAATATTGGTCGCTTTAAACGCTAAGTATAAAGATACTATGTATTGTAAAAATGTATCATTCTAAATATTTATATTTTAAGTAAAAATGATTGGTTGGCAATAAATATAACTAAACGTTTTTCATTTTCTCGCCAAAAAAAAAAAAAAGTAACATCATGGTGATTTGTTCCAAAAAAGGATTTCAGGAAGAAATGACCAAATAAAAAAACGACCACAGAAATAACGGGCAAAGAAAACATATTCATAGTAATTTAGGCTATTAACAATAATGTCTACTGTAAAATGTTAACTATTTCGGTAGTGTCTATGTAGGACGTAAAAGAATGACAACCACCTCTAAATGTGGTAATAAAGAAAAGTTACCTCTATTTCCTCGGTCAGTTTGGAATGTACAGGAAGTAACATTGAACGATGAACAACGTATAAACAACTAAACTGAACGATGGAAACACCGGTTTTGTACATTAGTCAACAATTCACATAGCACAATCTGGACATTAATAAAAAATAAAAATAACCAGTAAAAAGGGATAGATGAAGCTAAACTGAGTTCAAGGGATTTAGGCTATAATTGAGTCTTACTGAGAGAGCTGTTGGTTAGTGTGCATATGGGGATGTTGATTTATCTAAAATCTCAGGTTTGTATTTTGTAATCTCACAATCAATGTGATCTCATTTTTTGAGGCAATATTTCAAAATAAGAATTTAGGACCAACAAAAAAAAAAAGACAACTGCACGTATTTTTTTATGACATGGTAAGTGATAAAAACAAAGTATAAAAACATAAAAAACGGGTTTTTAAACATAAAAAATCACC